TAATGAAAATATACAGTGAGCAAAACATCGTGCAAGTGTACAGTGATCTAATGATTGGATTTTCACGTTTAAGGACTGAATCTGAATAGCTCGAAAAGGTGACCTCAAGTGCAGATAATATTTTAAGTTACCGAATTAGACACAAAACGTGCCTTTTTTGTGATTTCTGACCCCCAAAATAGGGCGGGGGGGTAGCCGCAATCGGGGAAATATTGTCCCAATAGAAAAATGAAAATGCTGCAATTTTTCAGTTTACTTAAAAAGTTCTTGAGATATAGCAAAATATGCAGAATGCAAAATTAACATTAAGGGGTCCAAACTTTGGAGTGCTCATCTGATCAAACTATTGGGAACATATTTCCCTGGTTGCGATTCGCCCTATATTTTGGGAGTCAGAAATCCAAATTCGTCGAAAAAACAGTATGTTTATTCAGAAAAAGTACGTTTTTGTGTCTGATTTCGTAATTTAAATGTCATTTTCACTTATTTTTTTGTGCATATTTGAGATCACTCTCTCTAACCTTTGAGAATGAGTACTAGAACGTGAAGATCTAATTATTGGATCAAAAGTTATTCAGGGTGGTCCATTTTTTTATTGCCTCACTGTACGTTGAAAATACAGAGAAAAGATAAAGATTAAGAGTGAAAGCAAGATAATTTTAAAAAAAATTCACATACTAAAATAGTTATTGTGCATATTATTGTTGCATATTAAAATAATTCTAGTTAGAAAATAGTTATTGTGGCGTCTGTTTTTGTCATATTATCAAAAATAAATACCTGAACAGTGAAATTAAAAGTATCTGAAGAAATGGAAGTGAATATTCAAGGAGGCTTGCATCAGGCAAGAAACGAAAAAAATACATAAATTAATTGTTATTACAGATGATTTGGTTCTAAGTTGTAGAAGTTCTTTTCTCCTTTTTCAAAAACTGAGATCATTCTTATTTATTATACTTGGCAAAAACGAAAACCTTTTGTAACAAAAAGTGCCCTGTTAAATTTTTTAATCAATACTACCTGTAATGTGTAATTTATCACCTAAAGTTAAATAATTTAACTAGTCAATAAGATAATTTGTCCAAAGATCTGACGCAAACTAGAACAATAAAAAGTAAAAAAAAACCTTAATAAGTTTTAAATATAATTTTCCATTTTTAGCATCAAAATCATCTTTTATAGTTGTTAGGCTCTGATGGATTGCGGAAGCCTTGTAATCAAGAGAGATTTTTCTGCCATGCCATCATTGAGCATAAAGAAAATTTAAAACTTCATTGAAACAAAAAGGAATTTAGACATTTCTAAGATTTCAAAAAAATATTTAATGTAATTAAAAATTAATCTAGTCTCTGCTCAGAATAATCTAGTCTCTGCTCAGAACAAAGAAAAAAAAAGCATGTTTCTTTCAACTTGTCTGATTTTTTTCTGCTTTCTAAACATTTTCTCGCTATTCTAACGCCCATAATGGGCACGCATCTTCTATCTCCTAACCTTTCTTCTATTCTTTCTTGCCTTCGTTACTCCTTACAATTATGCTCTTTTTACTTTAATTTTGGTAATCGACTACAAAATCTTCAAATTTCTTACAATAGTGGCTTCAATAGAGGTAAAATTCACTTTTATAATGGCTATGAAAATATAAGAATATATATTTTTATGCTCTTTTGAAACAATTTTATAAAAATATCACATTAGTCTCCAAATATTTTTTTGTTGTTTAAAATTTTCTATCTTAACTTCTTATTTTTTCTTTTTTCTGCAAGACACAACTTTGCACTTGTATCCAGTGATTTTTCAGAAAATAAACGTGCTTATGTTTATTAATTTCTTAAAAAACACAGTTTTTTGTTATTTAGTTAAGTCTTGAAAACATTTTGTTTTTCCTCAGAATAGAAAAGGTGTCATTTTTTTAATTCACAAAACGAATGGAAATCAACTTGTTATCAACATTAGATAAGTACATAAAGTACATTTATTATTATACTTTTGTCGTTAAAGAATTTTTTTTAAAGAACTTTTTTTTAAAGAAATATACATAAACTCAAATACTTCGATAAGGGATATTTTTAAGTTTCCTTTGTAAAAGTTACGAAAATTGTTAGATGACTTTTTCCTTAAATAAAAAAAATATTGAAAATTATTTGAATGATACGGAATAAAAATTTGTACTGGGTGAATATTTATATATTTTTTTCTCCATTAAATTCAAAATTGTAAAGAAACAAAAAGTTTCTTATAAATAATGATTGGAAGTTATGCAGTTTATTTTTATAAATCATATACTTTTGCTGTAATAATACGTGCCGATGTTCATTTCCAGATGAGTTATTTTTTGCACTTAGGCTAGAGCGAAATTCAAGCTTATTTGAAACATTTTTTTGATATTTAAATTATTTTAGTTTACCTAATTCAAAGATTTGTTGAGATCATTAAGTTCAATCTAAATGTCTTCGATAGTATTGTAATATACCAAAGTATTTGTTTTAGATTATTTAGATATTTTTGTTAAAAATTTATTAGTGATTAAACTTATTTTATAAAATAAAATTAGTAATTTTACATAAAACAAAAAATTTCAAAAAAATATGCAATATAATCAGTGCTAAACGAATAGTAATATTTTTCATAATGAATTTCTAAAAGTCTAAAACTAATTAACTCCAAAATTAAAAACAAATCAATAAAATTTTAAAGAAATTTTAAATTAGGTACTCCTCACTAATCAATAAAGAAATATTACTTAACTACAAAATATTTTAAGCTAGGAAAGTTAAACTTAGTTTTCAATTAATTATTTAAGCTTTTGGATTGTCTTGTCATGAATATTAAAGCATTCTAAATTAAACGAATTGAAAGTTTATATTTTTATGTACTTTTTATGGATTTTTTTCCTGAATAATAATGGAGAATATTTATTATTTAGTTAAAGTGTGATTTGTTAATTTAGCTAAAAACATTTTACTGAGTTTTCAAAGATTTTGCTTTTTATTAAATATTAATGATTTTACATCTTTTTTTAATTGACATAAAATAAAAACAATTTTAGTCTTGAAAGTTTATCTTAGCGTTTATTCATATTATAGAACTTTTAATCTTTTTGTAGTTGTTTTTTAAAGCAGCATTGAAATGCTAATTGAAAAATAATTTTTTAATGAAATTGGTTCATTACATTAATTTAGTCATTAAAAAAAAACATTCAATCAATTTTAGATTTTTTTGAGTTTCTATCGCTTTGCATTACGTTCTTAAATTTACGAAACTTTTATGTTTTTCTCAAATAAAACAAAAGTTATTCGAATTCGTTTTTAAAATTTTTTATTAAATATTTGACATTTAATGCGAATGTACAAAATACTTTGAAAAATTAAAAATTAACTAAGTTTGAAAATTACTAACTAATTAGCATATTTGTGATCAATTCCTGAAACCATTAAGATTAAGCTCTATAATGGGAAAATCCCATCATTAGATCAAAAATTATTCAGGGTGGTCCTTTTTTTTCAGCACAGTATATATATCTATAAAGTCTAAAAAGTAGTAAAACTTCAAAGTTTTAAAACACTTTTCAAGAAACTCCCCAAAAAAAGGATATATATATATATATATATAAATATATACATAGTTTTTTTTACTACTAAATTTACGTTTTTCGTTTACTAACCACTCAGATTCACAGTTCAGAATCGCAGTTTCAGAACCTCGGTTAAATCGGCGACGAGTAAGTCTCATCGAAGCTTTCATCGATTGGCAAATGAGTACTGAAAATCGATTAAATTTAACTTCACTTTTGTATCGGTTTCAGATACTTGAATGTTTGATCTTATTTGCCTTTGGTCCTTTCGAAGTTCTGATTGGTTAAATCGAATTTCCTGGAGTTATAAAAGTCTCACCTTTGAAAAGATTTAAAGTGTCATGGAGGAAATGATATTTATATCGAGTTTGCTTGACAAAGAACGAACGAAATGAAAAAAAAAAAGATTCTAAACTTTTTTAAAAAAAGAAAATCGAAAGTGATTTATTCGAGTCGTCGGTGAAATGTAAAGAAAACTGAGATTGGGCGAATTGATGGAAATTCTCTTTTAGAAACCTGAAGATGTGTCGGAATGGATTGAATATGTGGATGTTCTGAGATTTTTAGAGCAAAACACAAATATGCTCACAAAATAATTTATTGCATGGAAATTTAAAGAAAAAATTTGGAAGATACGAAAATATAAGTTTAACCTAGTTCTTTTTATCTTGGTTCAAAATTTATAATAGTAAATCAATCAACAAGTGGCAGCTTCAAAATTTTTATAAGCATGTTAAATGCATAATCAAATGTATTTATAAAGAATTAAGGAATGATCGTTTAATTTTATTTTAGTAGCAAAGCATGATTTTATACTTGCACCATGTGCAGCAAAAGTTTAAAATATTACACACCATGTTGGTAAAAAACTGGGTGAAATGAATTTCTTGCTAGTTTTTTGATTCAATTTATTATATTCTTTGGAACATATAAATTAATGGTCACTAAGCAAAATTAAAAATTAGGTAAAATTAGAATGAGTGTGATCTTAAAAAACAATAATGGAAAACTACAGAAAACATTAACGCAAGTTTATATACTTGGATAATTAACGTTTTCTTAAAGTTAAAAAACATGTTTGAAAAAAATTGAATTCAATACCAAATATCTTATGCAATAGTGGCTTTTAAATAAACATTAAAAAGATAGTTTTATAAACACAAACAAAGTGTTCCATAATCTAATACATACTGGACATCCTTGTCAAAAATAAAGTAAAAATAATATGCATATTAGGCTCCGCAAATTTATTCTTGCAGAGGGAGGAGATAAAACTGCTATTAGAGTCTGACGAATAACTACTGAGAAAGAAACGAATAACTACTGAGAAATAATTACTGAAAAGTACATAAATCTTAGAGATGGTGGTTACAGAACACTTTGTATGCAAATAAGAATAAAGGAAAGGGTACAAACACTACGTACGTACAGGTCTGGCACTCTGGTTCCTTCGGCTTCCATCTACCTTTAACGCACTTTGCTGTTCTGTTGCCAATGTTTAGAGAATATCCAGGAGTACAGGTAACATTGATGATTGTGCCATGAGGCAAGGACTCATTGCCTCGTCCCAGTCGTACGATCTCTACCTCCATCCAATCACTTTCACGTAAAGAACAGGGTTCTTGAAAAGAAAGAAATAAGTAAATAATTAATTGATTAAAGTAAATAAATAAATAAATAAATAAATAATAATATTATTTATAATAATAATAATAATAATNATATAAAACATATTTTTCAAACTTTAACGAGCGTAGAACAAGTATTGCATTGCTTTATATTTTTTAAATGACTCATAATAATTTTAAAGAGCAAAACATTTTTTTAATTCAATATTTTTACTTTATTTAAGGCATTTTTTGCGCAATGCTTGCATTTTTAAGGGCATTTTTTGCCCTTTTTAAGGGCATTTTGTGCACTTTTTAAGGGCATTAGTTGAGATTTTTTAGGTCATCAAAATCCGGGCTCTAATGATAACAATAATAATATTTTTAGCTTCAGACTTTTGGGTTAAATAAACAAGCTAAAACTTCGGTAATAACAGAGAGAAAGATTATTCTAACCAGCTTTTTTTCTGTAGTTTCAAAATAAAATGCCGAACGTGAAATTTTTAATTTAACGAAAGAGGGGACGCTACTTCGAACTTATCCCTAAAATTAAACATTTCTTTTTTGGATTTTTGCTTATAGTGTATTTAAATGGGGTCAGTCAGTAAGATTGTTTTCCTTTTTAGTTTTAAGCTAGCTAAAGAATCTATCTCTATGCTTATGATATTTTATGAAGTAGAAATACGATTGCATAAATTCGTTAAGTATTTTAATGTTATGAGCAGTTTAATTTAGGATTTAATGATAAATTAATTTCATTAGTTATATTTGCCTTTGCTATTAAACCTGTCCAACTAAACTGATTTTTGATATTTTGTAAACTTCTTACTGTTAAGCGATTTCAGAATATTTTTTTCAAATAAATGATTTAACTTGTAACTTATCTGTGTTCTTTATATAGTACAGGTGTCGATCAGCATAGTAAATTGCTTTAATGGTTTAATAATAAGCACTCGATAAAATTGTTGGTTTTTACAGTTCACGGAGAGAAAATTCTGGAAAAATTAATATACAGTATGGTAATCACATTTTTGGTAAAAAGAAAGCAAAATTCTGGCTAATGAAAAGAATATTTACGGTATTTAAACCCTTAATTTGGTAATTTTTCCGCTCATATAAAATAGTTTACTGAACTGTTTCGTTTTAAAAATCATAATCTCATTACCGAACATTTAGTAAAAAAATAAAAGACTGAATAATAAATTTAGCCGAATAAATGTTTTTTATACCATGCTATAAGTTATCATGATAAAATCACCAAATTTTATCAGATTTACTAAATTTAATCAAATTTAAAGCCATATTAAATTGCTAATTTTACCCAAATTGTTATCAAAGTGCTTCGGCAAAAAACTAACGAACTTTTTATTGTTACCCCAGAGCATGAAACATGGTAAACTTTACCATATTCTAATAGTTTTGATCACACTTTTTCTCAGTGCACAAACGGTCCTACGCCTTGAGCAGTATTTTTCGGTTGTAGCGAATCTGTCGCATGTTCTGTCGAGTAATTCTTCCTATACTAATGTTCTCTCTGAAGCTCGAAAAGTCTTTAATGGGCACATAACCTAGCTAATTAACAGATTAACTATACTAACCCATTAAAGCTACGAATCAATATTTTCCTGCACTTTACCTATTCTAGGTAATGTGCACAATGAGGGCATAATTATCATTAAAGTTCAAAAGTTTTTTTTTACTATTTTATCAACAAATTTGTTGATTGAGTTGACTTTACCCTTTAGAAATCAAGAAATAAATAGGTAGTGTGCAAATTATCTGGGTTATTTGATAATTAAATAGGTAATGTGCGAAATGAAACAATTTTCGTCCCCTTAACGAATCACTCTAGTTAACTTTCCATTGTATTCAAACATGCACAACACATATGTTCATTCACAAACATTTAAAACACATATGTTCATTCTACTTTGAGATCATTTTACCGCATTGGATTATGAGACATTGATAGTGTTATGTTTGATACCCAGTATTCCATTATAAGAAACTTAATGATTACATTTAATTTATTATTTATTACGAGCTGTGATGCCACAATAGGCGCTACATATTTCCAGCTTTTAAAATTTCTTTAATTTTTAAACTTATCTTTTTAATCATTCTAAATATAATTTCAATTGAATAAACCAATTATATAATTTTTATTACATTTTATAAAAAGCGAGTATAAAATATTTTATTCTTTTCTTCGTGCAACAGCTAACTTTCTACTCCAATTCATTTACTTTCAATTTCGAATTTTTGGCTATTGGTCTGGGGGTCTTCGGACCTCTCAGTTCAAAACCATTTTTTTTGTTATAATTTTTGGAGCAAAATAAAGTCATGTCCTACCCCTAATGCTTCTTGCTTGTGTCCTGCTGCGAATGTGTTTTCCCCGTCTTCTTCGTCTTCCTCTTTCTCTTCTAAGATGAGCTCTGATCAACTCTCGACGTTTCCTCTGTTGTTGATCATTAGTTAACTGAGGATGAGAGCCTTTAACACATCTGAAAAATATTTCATGATTAATGAATATAAATGAAATAGCATTTTGTCAAACGGAAATTAAGTGTCATTGAGTATTTATATTTATTTAGACATTTTTTAAAATAGTTAAAGATTTTATGAAAACTTACATAAGCTAATCTATGTGTTAATCTAAGTTACGTACTTTAGAAGCAAAGCAAATTTTCAAGTTTAATAGAAAACAAGTAATAAAAATATTGACCAAAAGTCTCATTTGTAAAAAAAAATATAGCTGAATAACTCAAAAAAGAAATTTGTTTCAAAATTATGTCATTAAATAATTGCTGACATTAAAACCTTAGCTTTTAAAATATAAAGATTTAGTGTAAATGTTACAGCTGTTGTACAAACATTGGACTCATAAGTTAAGTATAGATTGAAAATGATTCGTTAGAAGGGCCAATTCAAAAAATGATTCGTTAGAAGGGTCAATTCAAAGTCTCTTAAGACATTTTAGCACGTAGAAAATAAAAGAAAATTATTCTTGATTCAGACTTATTCCTGATGTTGAATTTCTTTCATTAAATTGTTTTTTAAATGTCAATACAATACAACTCTTAATTTGCTGCAAAAAGTAGATAAATACTTATTTAAATATTAATATACCAAGAAATCTATTTCATAATTCCAGGGGGTAATTTACAATTATTTATTATAAGGTAAAGGAAAAATGTGCTTTAAATAACCATTGCCTTGCACATTATAAAAACAGATTCACAATACTAATTCTGAATGAGGAAGATTTCTCGATTATAAGATAAAAAGATGTTAAAATGACTCCATTTTAAAAAGTGAGAGACTATTTAAATCTCAATTACCATCAATAAATTGTCAATAAAGAAAAAATAAAGTGGTTATATCGTCGATAAAGGATGAAAGCGAATAGTAAAAATTTGAATGTAGAGTATGGTTTGAAATGCAAATTAATGCATAGAGAAAAAAACTGGTAAAATTACCGTACTGTATGGCAATGACATTTTTGGTTAAAGAACAACATATTTCTGGTTAATAAAAGGAAAAAAATATATGGTACTTAAACCATTTATTTGGAAATTTTTCTGTTCTTATGGTAACGGTTTACCTCAAATTCTGGTTTGAAAAATTCTAGTTTTTATTGCCGCACATTTAATAAAAAATAGAAAACTTAAAGTAGGAACTGGGTAAGTTTAACCGAAAAAATGGATTTTATGCCATGCTCTAAGGAATCATGATAAATTTACCCCATTTGCCAAATTTAATAACCCTTTTATAAAACAAACATTACAAGCAATATATTTTATAGTTAATTTTACCAAAATCATTAGTAAGAAATTGGCTGAGTTCTGCATTTTTGGATGATTTTTCGATTGCGTACTTCAAACTGAAAAATATCACTATCGTTTTTAATTTTTTTCATTTTATTTAATTTTGTTGTTTTATTCAATTTTTATGTGTTTAAAAATAAATAAAATACAAAAAAAAGTTGGTGGAGATTTATATTTTTTGGCGATGTTTCACTTGCACCCGGCTAACTGAAAAGTATTTGCTTGCGAAAAATTTTGTGAGAAGTATTTGCTAACTTTTTATTTTCAATACTAATGTAAAACTCATTAATTCACTGCTGCGACAAAATCGAAAACAAAAATCTATTTATAGCTTCTTAATCTATATTTCCTACCACAAAAATGATTCAGTTACATGGTTAAACTAATTCTCAGTCTTTTTTGGTGATTTAATTTCGCCAAATTATTTTCAAATTTAATACTGATTATAGGGGGTTGGCTCAATTTTTGGTTATGCTATCTTTCGATAATTCTCCAACCATGGATCTCTTCCCATGCTCCTAACCGTCCGTTGGGAACAATTAATTTATATTCAGTTTTGAATTATTGGCATGAAGATTGGGGGCCTTTTGGGCCTTCCAGTCCTAACTGTTGAATATCAATCCTAACAAAAATTCTCGATTTTCTTAGAATGATTTTTTGATCCCTCCAAAGGACTTCTTTTCATCATTTTTATACTTTCGAGTGTGACCATATTCAATTAAATATTACTTAATAAATTAGTTTTTCCTAAACGATTTTGTTCATTTTTCTGGGATAAATATCCCTACATCATTTTCAAATTCAGATGCATCTGTAACGGCCAAAAGCATGCTTTCAATGATGGTACCTGCAGGAACTACTAAAATTAAAATTATCTCCATCTCCACATAATTAAGAATAAAATATTTTATATTCGCTTTTTATAAATTGTAATAAAAATTAAATAATTGGTTTAAATTAATTGAAATTCGGTTAAGAATGATTAAAAAGATAAGTTTAAAAATTAAAGAAGATGAGTTCAAGAAATTAAAGAAATTTCAAAATCTGTAATGCCAATTGTGGCATCACAAAAAATACCACCATACCATATACAAATCTAGACTTTTATACTTTTATATTCAAGGAGCAAGTTAAACGAGCTTGGATGGCTAGGTGATTCGAGTGGAACCACATAAAGCAGATCTGGAAATTGGTGACCGTAGCAAGTAGGGTGTGAGGAAAGGTCCTTAATATAATTTTATTTTCTTGAACATGATTATATTTCACTCAGTTTTCATGCATGCAGAAAAATGGACGAAAGAAAGGTTTAATGGTATGAACAGAAATAGAATGCAGTCGGATCTCCATATAACGAAGTTGCTAAATTCCGATAATAAGTTCATTGTATGGAAAATTCATTATATAGAAAGCCACCTTTTGAAACACTTAAACAACACAAAACAGGTTATAAATTCATAAACACTACACATAATTAAAACAGCAATTAATACGCCTTTATCTCGTAAACTAGTATTTTGGAAATCTTGACCATAAAAGAAATCTGCATGGAAAGCAAGAATAGAACAAAACATTATACAATGTTACACTATCATGCTACATACATTTTCAACTTAAAAAAAAGGCTAAATTTAATTGCTACTGATAAAACTCTTTAATTTTGTTCGAGTTATTCTTTGAGATGCAAACAAAAAGGGAAAGGGATTTTACTGCTTTCTCTAAAAGTAAAGTGGCTTCAAAAATCAATTCAAGGACATTTCATCCCATAAAATGAGTTAACAAGCTTGAAAAGTTCTGAAATTTTTTGGGAAATAGGGAAAGTCGATCTCGAAGAAAAGTTCGTGAAAGAGAAAATTCACTTGACAATTGGGTATAATATGAAAAAAGCACAGATACTTCCACTTACTAGGAATAACATTTACCTTTTAGTTTAATTAATAAACTGAGTTTTAAATATGTTTACTAAATTCATAAACTTCGGTAAAACAACAATATAAATTTTTTCCAAAGGAACTAGACTAATACAATTCCAACCTGGCGAGTAGCGACTTATAAACAAGACACTTCGTTTGATGCTTTTACTTGTTGCTAGAAATCAGGTTCGCAGAAAATGCTGTTTACTAGTTAAATTTAGTAGGAATAACACGATCTGTGACGTAGGCTATAGTATACCCAATTTGGAAGTTATTTTATGAAGAAATTTTCAAAATTTTCTTGGTTTCTCGAAAAAAATCGCAAAACAGAAAAATTCGCAAAATCAAAGTTTCTTAAATAGAAGTCAGACTGAATATATTCAAAGATATTTGATAATGTCCAATTTCAATAGCTTTATTTCAATTCTATTTCATTAGTGAAATTTCTAGTTGAATATTTCCCAATGTGTATGAAAAAATTTAATCATGTGTTAACATGTACAGATGCTTGTCAGCCGATAAAACGATAGACTTAAGAAAATAATTTCAAGCTTAGTTTAATTTCAAATTAGAGATAATATGGTAAAAACTAACTGTCTTATCTCAGATAATATTCCTTAAGATGATTACATATTTTATGTATCAAACATACATTAAACTCATTTACTAAGAATAAATCAAATTAAGAAAAAGAGTCCATTAAAAACTACTAGAATATGGTAAAATTTACGTATTTCTGGGTCTATGACAACACAAAAACTCGGTGATTTTTTCTGAAACGCTTTGGTAATGATTTTGATAAAATATACAATAAAATATAGTTTTATAATTTGTGATTAAATTTGGTAATTTTATCATGATACCTTAGATCAGTGATTCTCAACCTTTTTTTTGTTGCGGCACATTTTTAATGATTTCGAAGTTTGACGGCACACAATGAAAAAAATTAGATTAAAAGTTGCTTAATTACCTATTTTACACTGTGTTAAATAGTTTGTGATAATAATTTTAAATGTGAAGTAAAATAATATGTACTACAAAAGCACATTTATTAAAGGATTAATTATTTCTTTCGACCAATTTTTTATTAATTAGTAACATTTATTTATTTTTTTGCTGGTTATTAATTGTTAGCTTGTTTTCTATAGTTATTAACTGTTATTTTTTGTGATTTCTTGTTAACTAGTNGGTCATCCATTTATAGGATGGCCGAATGTAAGCAGTCAAATGTTTCAAGGGCGAGCATAAGTATGACTTGTCGTAAATGTTGTTTTTGGAATTATTATGTTTTTATGTCGAGTTTAGATTCGAATACGATTGAATAAAGATATATTTAAAATATACGTTAAATATCTCTTACAGACTGCATATATTCAAAGATATTTGATAATGTCCAATTTCAATAGCTTTATTTCAATTCTTTTTCATAAGTAAAATTTCTAGTTAAATATTTCCTTATATGTATGAAATAATTTAATCATGGGTTAACATGTTCAGATGCTTGTCAGCCGATAAGACAATAGACTTAAGAAAGTAATTTCAAGCTTGGTTTAATTTCAAATTAATAGAGATAATATCGCAAAAACTAACTGTCTTACGTCAGAAAATAATATTCCTTAAGATGATTACATATTTTATGTATTAAACATACATTAAACTCATTTACTAAACATAAATCAAGTTAAGAAAAAGAGTCCATTGAAAACTACTAGAATATGGTAAAATTTACGTATTTCTGGGTCTATGACAACACAAAAACTCGGTGATTTTTTTTGATACGCTTTGGTAATGATTTTGATAAAATTAACAATAAATGTAGTTTTATAATTTGTGATTGAATTTGGTAATTTTATCATGATACCTTAGATCAATCATTTATTCGATTAATCATTTATTAGATTCTTGAAATCATTTATTTGATTAACTTTACTTTTCAGTTTTATTTTGTTTACTAAAGATGAAGCAATAAGAACTCTAATTATAATATCAGAATTTTCGTTAAGCTTTTACCATGTGAACGGTAATGTGATCACGAAGTAAATGGTCTATATACCATATATTTTGATTTTATTAACCAGAACTATGTTTTTTTAAATCAGAAATATTATTACTATACAGTACGGTAATATTACCAGAACTTTTTTCTCCTGGCATTTAAAAAGCAATAAAAAAAGCCTTCAATTTATAAGTGTTTATAATTATCACGGCTTACTTTTTGCATTTTGAAAAAAGAAAATAAAGTCTTTTCTTAACTCTTAAACTTTACCGTAAAACTTTAACCCTTAAACTTTAATCGAAACAATTTAAAAATAATTTATCATTTTTAGAATATTTTAAGTACAAATATTAATTTTCGATAAAAACACAGTAATTCATAACCATCCTTTGACCAAATACATATAAAAGCTCTAATAAACGCTGTAATGGAAACTTGGTTTTATCATTATTATTAACAGAAGTTTAATTTCCTTTAATTTCTTCACAATTCAACTTAAATTCCCAATGACATTTTAAACGACGAACGAAATTGAAATATATTGCGATTTTGAAAAGGAACGCCTTGGTCTTTCGGACGGCGAGAGCTGTTATGCATGAATTGGAGCAAATTGATCCACGTAGCCATCAGTAGATACTTTTAGAAATGCTCTCCGAAAATAAAATATTCTATGAGTTTGGAATCGAAGGAATTTTCATTCGCTTTACGATAATTAAATGGAAAGAATTGTTGGAGAAACTAAATGCAAATTTTATCAATTCACTGTCCAATTGAATAGATAAAATTGAAATAAACGTGACTGGAAGTATTAAAAGGGGATTAACATATTCCCTTTCATTATATAAATTTCTAAAATATATTGTTTTAATTTCAGATAAAACTTAATTTTTAATAACTTCTGTGCAGTGAAATAACTTACGTATAAGGGATATTAATAACTTTGTAAACTCTATTTTCTTCGTAAGTTAACTGCCTATTGAATAGTGAATAATATTGAATAAAACTGACTAGGGAAAATGAAATATTACAGTATTTTACAATTATGGATCTACCACCCCCTGCCCGCTTTCGCTCGTCTATCCCTGGAACATTTTTAGATGCGTGCTTGTTTTTCTCGGTTTCCACATAAGTATAGTATTCTTGTTTAGGTATAGACTAACATAGATTCGCACATAGATCAAAACTGTATAGTATTTTGAGAGGATTCGGTTATTTGTATAAAAATAGTCAGATTAATGTACATTATCACTACGCATATCTTAGAGCTCATTAGCAGTAGAAATACAAAAGAAATTTGAACAATTAAAAAAAAGTAAAAAAATATATTATAAAGTGATAATCTAAGTTCGAAATTCTCAAATTTGTTTCATTAGTTATTTATGAAAATAATTAAAAAATTTATCAGTTTTTATCAAAGATATAGCTTGCACGATAAAATGTTTCACAAAAGGATATTTAGATGCTCTTCTCTTAGAAAATATACAACAGTATCTCCATTGTACAGTAAATTAGTGATATGAAGTTTTAGAATTTCTTAAAAGAAAATTTTGATCATTATCAAATGTTTGATAGTATTTTATAGTAATTTCCTTCGGCACGAATGTGTTTTTGAAGGAATCTATTAATCTCTATGAGAGCTCGAATGTCAGCATTTTGAAATTTAATTTTTTTAATATTTTAATATTTAGTAACAATAGTATTTTGGGATAATTAGTTATGATATAAGAATATTATATTAGAGAAGTATTGCTAAATCGTATTTTTCTCTAATCATACTATCTGTGATTTCTAATGAAGCATGGTATAGAGAACGTTGAAGTGGTTAAAATAGGAATATTTTTTCAAGGGAGATCAATGCAGAGAAACCAAATTGTTTACTTGCGTTAAGTTTTTATTAAAGTAAATCTGTTTTCCAAGTTTTTAGTGTAATTTTTGAACATCCTATGTAAGTATATAGCAGAACTAAAGTAATGTGCAAGTTATGTAATACATCATGTAATTGTCAAGCTACTAATTCTGCTTTGCTCTTCTTGTTTTGTTGCTGGTTAACTATTGTTCGAAGGTAAATCACAACTCATGTGCAAACTTAATTTGTTCTGTTTCGATTTCAACAATTGAACTGGTCGGAGCCACGATGTCTTTGGGGATAGAGCGTTCGCCTTCCAGTGAGATGAACCGGGTTCGAATCCCAGCAATGGCTGGTCGATACGAATCCGCATCCGGCTTGTATCGACCACAGTGCTGAGGTGAAATATCCTCAGTGGTAGACGAATAATGGGTTAGAGTCCCTTTGCTGTCAAGCTAAACGTGGGAGGTTCTCGCGTAGCCTCCAACGCCTCCAGTAACTTTTCGCAACTTTTTTTCCAGTTGTTAATCTTTATTACTTTAAGATCTTTAGTAGCGTCATCGAGATATCTAGTTGGAGGTCTTCCTCTAGACCCGATATTCAGAAGGATTTTTAAAAGTGGCTATTCGTACTGCATTGTTTTCTGGTCCTCTCCAGACCTCTTATTTAACGCCTATTATTAACCTCTTATTTATCTTATTAAAATATTTTAAAATTCACATAGTATAAAATTTTTAAATTAATGAAATGCTTAGAACTTACGTTGGCATTTGTTTTGGACTCCATTGGCCATCCACACAGGTAGCGCCAGGTGGTCCGTCTTTCAGCGTATAGTGACGATGGCACTCATACATAATCTGCCGATTGTTTGTAACTTTTTTTACGTATGGCCTGTAGTCGTACATTCCCATGTAACCCACAAGAAGTACTCGTCCATGTTCCAAGACACCAGGAAAGGGACAATAAACTGTAACAAAAAGAAACAATTTGTCATTATTGAGGAAAAATAACATGTAATTAACTTTTTTGTCAAACTAATGACCTGATTTACTTTAACAATCTACGATGATTTATTTTTTAACAAACTAAAGTAAACTCAGTGGCGCGACAGTCCATCGAGGGCCAAGGCCTACTGTGTTTCTCAGTTTTCTTCATCGTTGGGCTCTGGGGTGCAGGAGCAGATGTTCCGGTTAGGTGGTCATCCAAAGGCGGAACACCCAGTGATTATTTCCCAAGCATGCTTGGTACTCATTTATCGACCCACTGAAGGGATGAAAGGCTGAGTCAGCCTTGTCCGGCCAGAGAATCGAACCCAGGACCAGTGACACGGGAGCGCGAAGCTCTACCACTCAGCCACCGGGCGTCTATTTTTTAACAGATGCCCGGTGATATTTATAATTATTAGGGTATTATTCCAACTATAAATATTATTAGAACTTTCTTTATCACACTGTTTTTTAAATGAAATAAAGTAAAACTTGAGGTTTTTTAATTAAAAAATATTGTATAGTATTTATGGTATTATTATAACTATAAATTTTTTCGGACACTTCCATTGCACGCAAGTTTTTACACGTAAAAAATATTACATTATTTCTTGGAATAGTAGTAACTGTTTGAACAATATTTATTTATTTAAGATTCTCTTGAAATTAATTTGCTAATTTATGTAGGTTTAAGTATATGCAAGAACTCATATTGATCTATTTCTAGACAATAATTACTGAAGCATACTTTGATTCAAGATAAATTAGATTTCTTTTAAGATAAGTTTGAAATTTAAGGACTGCTGCACTTTATCTCGAAGGAATGAAATTATTAAACAAGAAGTTTTAAAAAGGAATAAAAATTTCATTAAGATCGTAAGCGAAAAGGAAAATAAAGCTTGTTAGTTTAATTGAAAGTTATCTTCTGGAAGTATCGACATAAAAATTTCTTTCTCGTTCGGGTGTCGCTTCTGTGGCAAAGAAAAAATAAATTTACCTTTACCTACATCAATGGCTTGTAATAAATCACGGTTGTGGGTAAGGCGGTATGTGTTAGGTAGTTGAAAAAAGAAATAAAAGAACAACTTCTAGTCTCCGTCCAAAATTGGCTTTCAAAAAGAGAAGATTTTTTCCAGGTCTTTTTTTTTTAAATTCTTTTTTCTTATACCTTTTTACAGCCAAAAGAAAACGGCATCACATGCACTTTCCGATTCGGCATTATAAATGGGGTAAGGAACAGGTTACAATCGCATCGGTTTCTTCCGTCAGAATAAAAAAAAATAATAAAAATAAAGTAAGAGAAAGATGGATATATAACAGAGGACTAGAGCTTGGCGATTCGCAGGAAATTGAATCACGAAGTGCGCCGGACGCTTGTTCACATATTGGAAACTTCCGGATGATGTCCGGCTACAATGACTCCGGCAAAGACCTGACTTAGCGTCTTGTTCGTGGGGACTTTTTTTTTACGCCAAGAAAAAAAAGTTTTTCTTTTTGTTTCACCTTACCCGTTAATTTTCATTTTACTTACTTTAACGGCAACAATCGACTATTTTTTAAAAAGAAAACAATACTTTCTTAGAGTACATTTATGAATCTTACCATTATATTCATACTTTTTTTGATTAATGGTTAAATTACATGATAGTATTAATAATGGTTCAATCTTTCATTAAAAGTCTCTTAAATGCTCTCCACTTTTTAAAGCATGAATATTGTATATCGCTACAGCAGCAAGAAATATAAATAAGAAGTTTCCGATTGTTGAAACACTAGATCAGAACAGATAAAAGAAAAACAAAGCATAAATAATTTTTTTGGGATAACTAAGTTCATTAATATACGATTTCAGAAAAAGAAGGCTAAGACATTAAAAAATAATCATGAATAATTGGGTACTTGCACTTCAAGAAGAAGAAGAAGATCACAAATACCCATACATGTGACTTACGACGTCAGCGCCAGCTGATCGTTTATAAGCAAAATGGAGTGCTAAATATGAGCTAAGTTTCTCCACATAAATTAGGATGTTAATTAACACTAAGTTAATTAAGTTAACGTTAAGTTAATTAAATACAGCTCTATATCGTAATCAAATTTGGTGAAATATAATTCTTTCTCGTCTGCGTCATTTACTTAACTTGGATTTATTATTTGTTAATGTCTTTTATTGTAACCGTGATATTTTTTTGCTTTGGTATCTGGGAACTCCGATACGTAATTAGTTTGTTTTCGTTGTATACGGCTTTGGACCTGTCTTTGTGTTAAGAAAGAAATATATAGTGAAGGAATTAAAATCTTTGTGAAAGAATATAGAATGAGTCACTTAAGAGAATTGATACTTGACGGGTTTGGCTTATTCAAAAAAGAATTGAAGGAACAGTTGCTAACGTTAACAAATGCCACGTTTTATCAACCATTCAGGATTGAGATACCCTTACTACGTCACTTGCAGGTATTCCATTACTATGAAACGTAATATTAATTAAAATAGATGGGACAAGTTTTATAAAAATTATTAGTTAATAAGCCAATTGTTTTATTTATCATTAATTTAAAAAAAATTGTAAAAAAAGAAGATTAAATAAAGAACAAAGTTTTAAATTGAGATGATAATTATTTACCGTTTATAAATTAATGGAAATTTAATTATCCAGGCTTATCGGGTTTGATTGTTAATAAAAAGAATTCTGCCATATGGTTATTGCACAGTTTTTCTAGTGTACTGAACATTAACCTTTAAACAATACTTGGCATAAAGTAATTGCCACCATTTTTTGTATTTAGTAAAACTAAAAAGTTATAATTACACTAAGATATGATACTTTAAACAGTCAATAAAGTTAATTTTATGATACAGTACAGTAGTAAGTAAGAATAATCAATTTAGGATCATACACTAATGTTAAAAATAAAATTTCATTGTTAATCAAACATACATACAGCACAGATATAATACTAATATGAATTTAAACTAAGCTTAACAAAACAGAAGCGAATAGAAATTAAATGTTATATAAAACCTTGATTCAATTGACAGATAGTTAAAATATAATTATCTTTAAATTACTGAATTGAAAATATTTATATTCTTTGTAACGGTGAACTTTTGTTTTTGTAGATATTCAGCAACAAAATCGCTTCAACTCGTGTAAAAAAAAACTGCGGCGTAATACCTATCTGAATTAGGTGTTGAGACACTCTAAAAATTGTCTGTTATTTCAAGTTAATATTGAATCGAGTGTTTATACACAATTTAAGGGCTGTAGTTAAATCTAAACACCAATAATTGACAAAGCTTACACCATTTTACTTATGTTAGAAGTGATGTAACCGATGACGGGAGACCCCACACTCTCAGAAATAAAATTCTGATTTTTGACGATTCAGCAGTCTTAGAGCTACATTTCGCTGATTTTGACAATAATTTCGTCACGAAATCGCGTGATTTGTTACATAACAGGAACTCTCAAATATATGACGATAATGTTTCCTCTACTCGGAACTTCATTGCAGTGCATTGTGAGAGGTTGTTAACTGGAATGACGAAACTAAAATGAAAACTAGACTATCGAAAGTAAAATACTAAAACAAGCCGACTTGTTAACTAAAAAGACGAAATTAGGATGAAGATCAGGCAATCGAAAATTAAGTACCGAAGCACGCCGTATGGCTTGTATGGTGGGTAGGAAGTGAGTCTCTTTCCAGGAAGATCCCGGGTTCGAATCTCGGTAGGTGTGTTATCTATCTCACGGTTCTATCTAACTTTTTCTCGTTGGTTTGATGACATTGATCTACTTATATGATGCCCGTAACAAAGTGTTTATTAGAAAAGTTAGAAGGCACCATGAGTTCCTTCTTTCTTTATTTTTTTTGTAAAGAAAATAAAATAGAATGGTGTAATATTTTTAAAATTTCAATGAAACTCGTTTCTTCGAAGAAGTTACGATAGTTATTTCGTCATTTTGACGAAACTTTCCCTACGAGCATATACAAAAAAACGGTTTTGGCGAAAATGACAATAGTTTCGAGAAATTTGAGCATCCATTTTCTGGAGTATATTTATGTACACATAATTAGTTAATGTACACATTTATGTACACTTCTATGTACAAATAATTAGTTAATTTTTTGTATTTTTCGACTTTGTACATTTACGTATTTCTCGATTTTCGTTTTATTTTATAAATCACGTCAAGACCAAAACATTAAGTTTATTTAAAACCTGTATCAGGCATTTCAAGTAGAATTGATTTATTTCCTAAATTTTTTCCCCCCGAAATTACAGGCAGAGAATAAATTGAATGTATTTCTCGAGAATATCATTAATATAAAAATGATAATGCATGTGATTGTGAATTTATCAATAAAATGAAATAAAAATCAGAAACATTAATATACTTTTTGGTTTATTAATGATAAATACAAATAGAAAAGATTTACAAATTAGATGAAAATGAAATATTTTATATTATACTTTTAGTAACAAAATTAGCATTTTTTTTTCTAAATACAACTGGACTAAAGAATAATCTGTGTATTGAATTTTGATATTTTTAAGCCTAAGAACGCATTATAAACTACATGAAAATCTAATATATTTTAAGATATGCAGTCGTCATTAATACTTAAATAAACGCGTAATACTTAGTAAATATTTTAACTACTTTTTATGCCTAGATTTGCACTTTACATCGTGTATTGATTAAAAGAACATTGTTCATTTTTTGAATCAGAAAAAAAAACTGAAATCTGTTTAAAGTTTAGAAAACGAAGTTAATAAAGAAAGTATACATTGTTTGAAAAAGCTTAGTAAAAATTATGTATCGCTTTAAAAGAACTACACAACCGGAAATTATAGTGTCGTTAATTATTTTTCCAGCTTACTGTTGCGTTAAGTCCCGAAAGAGTCATTCAATTTTACGTTAATGCCTTTATTTTCATTTCGTTAAATCCTTTATTTTTTTCCTCTGCTTCCAAG